CCTGCCTAGCAAGACGATGGAATCTAGGCTCCAAAATCCATCTCTCCTATAGTGTTCCTGTACAGACCATCATTATCATGAAATGGCAGCAGTCTCCACAGGTACCAAACAATGAGAAAAAAGGGACATGGAATCTGTGAAGGGCAAGCTCATGAGGTAGGGGGAGGCATTTTTTCTCTATAGAAAAAGTTAATGAGCCTCCCATCACAGCATTGTCCTGACTAACCCTGATCTGGCTTGCATGGGAGCCATGGAATAATGTGCCCCTTGCTTGAGGGTAATCTTGGGTCAAACATGGCGCCTATAAGTTCCAGAAACTTTAAAATATCATCTAAATGCAAAACAAATAGAAATCAGTTTTGTTAAAAGGGATACAGTGAAAAGTTTTGCCGTTTCCAATTTGGCAATACCTTCAAGAAATATGGGGGGAAAAAATCTCTTCCACAGCCAAATAGTTTTTCTTGTTGTTGCTGAATAATTTCACAACTCCATTGCAAGACACAAATACATAAAAAACACACTGTAGCAGACAGTTACCAGCCAGTATATCCAGGCCTCAGAAAGACCACGATCAGAGAATGAGGTTGTACACACAAAGGCTTTGTTTAACACGAGCTGAAGCTGCAATCAAGTTAACAGAAGTCTGTTATTTCAGTTCATTCCAAACTACTCTGTCCCAAGCATTTTTCTGAAACACTTCAAGGACTTGTTAGCTATGTAGCTCAAACCAAAGAGAGCTGGAACTCTACAGGACGGGAAAAACAGGTACCATGTGGAAACCCTCAGAAATGGGATCACTGTAGAAGGCTCAATCAAACTGCCTCTCTCCCCCAAACAACACTGTAGTGACAAGGGATGTATGTCCAATGGGCCACATTCTCATAGTGGCCCAAGTACAGCAGCTGTAAAATAGTTTAATGACTATATACTATCCCCCTTTTCTCCCTTAAGCCAAATCCAACTGAGCAACTTTTCTTGCCACAATCATCCAGTGCTGCTAGTATGCATCTCTAAAGTTTTTCTATTACCACTCCATAGTGTAAAGGTGATGCAAGAAACCCAGGTGTCTCATGCAGAAGACGACACACGGAATTAGAGAAGTAGGGAAAAGGCAAAAAAATTCCATTGCTGTGGTTAACTGTAACACAGGGGCTTGTGTTACCTTGGTAGCTGGGAGAGAGTTACGTAGTTGTGTGTTTTTATACTCATGTTTCTACACAGGGTCCTGTGTGAGCTATATAAAGCATGTAAGAACAAAAAAAAGCAGAATTATAGATGTTTCCACTGTGTAATTAATACTTGTTTATACAGAGAAGCCATTAAATAAAGCTGCTCTAGCAGCATAAAACAGATGTGACAAGGCTAAGCAGTTCTGGTTTTACCTGCTCTGGCAGCAATATGCAAATATTTCACACTTTCTGATTTTCTCCTTCTGAACCATGATCCCCCCAGTCGTAATAATGGTTCTCTTTCCATAGCCTGTTTTAGCCATAGCTTAAGAAACAAATGAAATTTCAACTTTGCCACAGAATAAAAATTACAAATAAAAACAAATTTTATACTTTGGAAAATCAAATGTTATTTTTTTGCCTTGTTGCCTTTCTAACATACACATATTGAAGGGAAAGGCTGGACTTGTTTTGCAGAATTGCTGAATCCCTAAATCCAAGTCAAATCAATGATAATAGCTCAAGACCCAGTAAGATCTGGCCTTTGGTGCTCTGTTTTAAGAGGTTTTGCAGGAAACTGTTTGTGCAGAAGGCCTTTTCAAAAGCCAAGAGAAAGGGACCAATTCTGAGCATTTGTAATGTTGCATGGTGCTCCCTGTGCTACTTTTAGCACTTTTCTATGTATTCAAGCAAGCACTGTATAAAGAAAATGCATTGTATTCAAGTTGTATTACATTTATGTTACTGAAATAGTAACAGCTATGAATTCTATGTAAGGAATGTTTATGAGACAACACATGTTAATGAATACCTAGGGACTCCTCATTACATGAATCAGTGACACAATAGACTAACGGTTAGTAGAAATGCATATTTAAAGACTCTTTCATATGCATATTACTGTACTAACAATGTGGCCATTGTGGTCTGTTTTGTCAGGAGGCCTAGTTGGGGGACTCTTTTGTCCACAGATTCTGTATTCAGAACAGAAATTGTTGAAACAATACAGCGTAATGTTTCCTTTACAGATGTAATCTATCGTACTAAAGCATATACTTTGGGTTCAGCTCAAGCAGCTACTGCAAGGCCAAAATCAGCCTTATACATATGCACCCAGGAGAAATACTCCATCAAAACCTAGAGCAACCTCTACAACTGCATAACAGTTCATGCAAGATATGCAGCTGCAGCAACCATTATTATGCTGCTAGCACCCACTAATGGGTCTTCACAATAATCTAATGTAAAGACATATACGCTACAGTAGCACAGTAGTAAATACAGCATCCTCCTGGCAACAAAATGGCATCCTTATCTCCATATCTGACCCAACCTAAACCACAATCTTAAAAAAGGAGATTGTTAGTGTGGTCAGTTAACTAATTTTGTTTTTAAAAGTACTGTACCCCAATCCTTCTGAAAGACCCACACAAAGAGAGTAAAAGTGAGCCACGGAAACAAAACAGTGAAAACATCACAAAATGCTGTAAAAAGGCACAAACTAAAGTTAGAGGCAAAATTTAAAAAATAGAAAGTTATATAGAACATTTTGCCATTAAACTTGCTTTGCTTGCTGTTACACTATTTGTAAGCAGTAGACAGGTAAAGGGAATCAAACAATACTATTTATTTTTAAGTTAATTTCACCCTTTTGAAACAGATTTGAAAGCCTCATACGACTGTTGGAATTTATTCAGACAACAATCATGCTCAATTCCTAAACCCATATCCCAAGCAAATGTTACCAATAGTGAAATTTGTTCCACAAGAATACTGACTTCCTGAAAAAGAGAACAGATTGATGGCTTTGCAGCATGTACAAGTGCCTTTGAGAAAAATAACTTACCAAAAAGATAACCAAGAGTACAGGCTTGTCTATACATGGATCTATCCCCATTTCACTATCCCTAATTAACTCCAGGTGAATACTTTGGGACTAAAAGAGCGCACACACACACACACACACACACACACACACACACACACGGAAATTCCATGTATAGACAAGCCTTAATAAATGAGTGGTTTGTCCTGAGACATGAGTCAACTGTCAACTTATTTTCTAACCCTGTCCTTATAATTTTCTGACTCCCAAACTACCTGAATACCCTACCTGTACTGAATCCTAAACAAGCAATATGTGCTTTAATTTCACGTTGCATTGCATTATAGGAAATCAGTGGTTTGAGGGGAAAAATACTGTAAACATTTAAATAAAGAAGAAGAAGAGACTTTCTAGTAAGTACCCTGGGAGTTGCACGTTTTTATCAGCTTTGGGGTATTACTGGTAGTTAATAAGAACTGGGAGAATGCTGTCTAAATGACATTTTAGGACTTAAGTAATAAGCATTGCTTTAAAAGGAAATAGTTGGTGGTGAAAACCATTTTTAGATAACAATATTAAACTTAAATTTTCTGAATCATTTACTACTTGTATTCAAATTTTTCTTCATAAATCTTCTGTCAAACTTTCTTCTAACTCTTACCACAGTTAACATAAATTAATTCTGGAATGCCTTTGACTCCAGAAGAGAATCCAAAAAGGAGGGGATTTGAATAGAACAGCTGTTCAGGGTCCCCTCCAAGGATAAGGGGCTTTTGCGGTAAAGGAACAGGAATTTGGAAGAAGAATGTGTGGAATTGGGCAGACAGTTTTAGAAGTTAACAAAGAGAACTAGTACTCAAGAGAAAGAAAAAATGTTGTGAATGGATGGGAGAGGACACCAGCTGGACTGTTAGGAAAGAGACATGAGCAAATTTTTCAGAATCGGCCAGAATCAAACCTTAGAACTCTTCTAAATTGTCTATCACCAAAAAGGCTTAGGTTGTGGATTTGGGTTGCCGGAGGGGTAGTATATTTTGTTTTGGGTCATTTCCCCTCTCTTTATCAAGGTTTATAAAAGGCCTTATCCACCATTTCTGCCAATCCAATGCCTGTTTCCCAGGAAACAGGAACAGAAATGGCATCTGTCAACATACAAGAGCTGTTAGGACCCCTGTCAATTGCAATGAGGCTAGAGGGTAAGGGACAGATTCAGTAAGGACCTTAAAAGGCCTTTAGATTAGCTGCTGCAACTCCACATTTTGCTGCGCCTGACCCCCAAAGTAGAATCCAGAACCTTATGTTAGGCTGGAAGGTTCCCTATCAAAGAGTGCATGCAGGAAGTTAAATGTCTCAGAATGGGATACAAACAGCCTGGACACCAATCAGAGAGTCACTTAAGAAGGATTCTGCTGGACATACAGCTGTCTAGAGCTAGCCAACAGGAAATTCTGAGGACAGGGTCTCAGAAAGGAGGTCTTAAATCCCTCCCCTCAGGTGTCCCTATCTATTTGGGACTTTTTCACCTCTTCCAGGTCATGCAGCTGCTGGAAGAGCAGTATTGCTTTTTAGGTTATATTTGAATACACTCACACATGCACCATTTTATGTTTTGACTGTACAGTTAGAGACACACTCATAGATATGATGTATACTTTTATATACATTGTATTTTTTACATGCTCTAATAAAATAGGATAAAAAATAAAATAAAATCCATGTGGCAGTTATGTTGCTATCACTTTAATTCTCTGTATGACCTGATGTGATTTTACCTATTCATATTCAGTGTTGTAATAACAGCTTTATAAATTCTAATTTCTTAGGATTCACTTTGTTTTTGAGGTGAGGAAGTTTACAAAAAATTATAAGACATGCTTTCCCTGTTAAAAAGTGAAGGTAGAAATTCACTGATGTATACTTAAGTACATAGTTATCTTCGAACTTTGAATAGGACTGAAGCCTGCACTTCCAAACAGCGGGCTGCAGAAGTGAATTTGTTGCCTTACCTGAACCGTTACTATTCATGAAAAAGTTGATCCAACCATAGATTGCTGGGCGTTCATCCACAGAACTGTTTTATTCAACAATCCTGGTGCTCAAAATCCAGCTATTGCCTTTGAAATGTACTATCAAACATCTACATCCGACTGCATGGCAGAGAATTAATTTTGCTGCACCTGTATCAGACAAGAAATAATTTACAATAATTTGTCAGGATTAACCTTTTGATAAGGCATAAATTTGTCTAGATTTAAAGCACTTTAAAAAAGGTGCAGAGGTCCATTTGTATTAAACAAATGCTGTATCAGCAGTTTGATGGCAGCAAAAATACTGACGCTGAGAATAACTACTACTCTATTGGACTTAATCTCTAGTGCAATAAAACAGATCTCTGGCATTTCAGCATGGCAAGATATGATTCATAACCAACTGTATCACTCTTATTTAGTCCTAGAAATGTCAAGCTCTGTAATTAACAGTAGGTACTTGCAGGTCCATACTTTCAGGATGTAATGACAAATGTGAATTCTGCATCAGCAAGCAATTAAAGTTACTTGAAACCATATGTTTTTAAAATGCCTTTAAAAATTCAACAATTTTTAACACCAGAATGCATCAAATAGCACTGCTTTTAAAAACAGTACACGTAGTTTGTAATGTCATTCAAGATAAATGACAAACCAAGAATCTTACTTTCCTCTTTACTTATTTTATTTCCAAATTTATCTTTTTATGGGATTAAAATGTAGCACTGAACAAAACTGTGTGCTTGGCTGGTATTTTGTATACAACTTTACAGTTTCTCAAAACCCCACAGGCAACTATTTACCCAGAGATTGCTAAAAACATTGAGCTCCATACCCTCACACACTATAGTGCCAAAGCACAAAAGTAGAAACACCAACATCACCTTATAACACACCACAAACCACAAGCAGAGGCATCAAGGGCACTGTAAATGACCTGTCATTGCAAGGGTCGGGAAGAAATTTGTTAATATAAGCTGAGGAGCCCAGGCAGAGAACCACCCTATAGGTCTTGCTTTCATATTAGAGAAGAGGGTCACAGTGTAACAGTTCATAGCAGCAGGACAGATGGGACCTTTTTGGCAGGTGTGCCATGAGTTAACCCTGCCCCTTCCCTGACAAAAATCCCTTTCCCTTACCCAATTTGCTGTTCAGCTTTCTGCTGCCTGTCCTGTGGCTCCCTCATCAAGCTGCTACTCTGCTTTCTGCTCCCTGCCCTGTGTTCCCTGCCTGATCGGAAGCATTGCTTTCTGCTGCCTGCCCTATGTGCCACTGAGCTTCCTGTCCCCGTCCTGATTCTGCTCCATACCACATGCAGAGGTTGCCAATGCCACTTACGGCACCTGTGCCACAGATTGACCACCCCACCCTGGTTTAGAAAATCCTGTGCGTTTAATGAGCACTGTCTTTTGGCTATCACTACATTAAATAACATTAAGGAGAAGACACTCAGGAGTAAGCTAGCTTGTTGACAAGAGTTCAGATTGGTAACAGCAAAAAATTTTAGTAGAATTTAGATGTAAAATTTTATTTTAAACAACAGCAGAACCCACAATATACCCTGTAGGCCACTAAGCATAACATCATTCACCAGCTCCTGTTTATATTTTTGAGCTCTTTTGTTCCCTTTATTACTGATCTGAGCTATTCTTGTGAGAAGAGGGGTATCCAAATATACAGCACCCTGTTTTTATGATCTGAGAATATAAGCACATCAGCAGTATACTTACTTGATTCCTTGGGCAGTGTTAGCTGTGGTTCCAAGAACTTGTATTTCAGACTCCAAGAACATAGCCTTACTTAGGGCAGTACTTCAGGATACATTGACCTGACTACCAAAGATTTTAAGTGCTGCATTTAATTGGAGCTTCTGAGTTTATCTTATCCTTTGCTGTTAACTCTCCCGGAAAGACTGACTAGTTTATCAAACAAGATGCAGGCAGCAAGGCTATGAAATCATACCACATTTAAAAGGTAAAACTCCTTCTTTTATTTCTCTGGGGATGAAGGATAATATTATGTTTATTTAGCAGGATTCAGATGTCTTGCCTTTACATTTGGACTTGCCTTTACATGCAGACTGTAAGGAGGAACAGAATATTTACAGGTTACTTTTGTATAGCAAAAAAAAAAAAAAAAAAAAAAAAAAAAAAAAATCTCATATGAAAAAATAATTCCCTACTAGCAGGTCTTAAGTGGCAAGGTGAGACAAGCCAATGTATTGTGAATGCACAGGCCTGTGAGGAAACCCCAGACACAAAGTGCAGCAAAATCATCTTTCTATCTCTGTTTTTTTGTGGTTTCTCTGTTGGTTAGGCTTCACTTTTTTTGTTTTGTTTTTTAAAGTAGGCCCATGTCCTGCAAAAATTTATGTACATCCTTAATTTTCAACCTATGATTCTTGCCACTGCACAGGAGTACTCATATGCTTAACTTTAAAGTAGTTTATGTATATTAAGCATTGAAGCCCTAAGTTAATTTAAAAGCAGCAATAATAAACTACTTCTGTTCACCTGTGTCCACTGGAAAACCTTGAAACTGAAGTTCTCCATCCACACCCTACCCTACCTTCTCCCATCCACAGGGGAGGTACAAAAAAGGTAACAACAGTGAAAGAGGAAGACTACAATATACAAACCAACAGTGTTGTTAAACATTCATAAAAATAAAAGGTTAGCTCTAAGAAAAACAAACATCTTTTGACACCAAAATATAATGTTTGCGTAGTTTCAGCTAACAAGAAACCTTAATTTAATTCATTTTAATGTTTTGCATTCGTGTTCTTTAAGCTTTCCACTAAAAGTAAGCTTTAAGTTGGAAACAATTAGGCATGATGACTAAATACAGTCTAGTCACTAAATTTGGTGCTACTTTTTGTTAACTAGGAAGATATGCTATTTGCATTTAATTATATAAAATACGTTTATTCCAACTGTTATTTTTTATATTTCATCACATTAAAATGAATGACATTTCTGTATATACTATATTTAAACCTATGTCAAGCTACATTTGGATGAAAGCCAACTAGAATCAAATTTAAAATGCAGAAAACCAGCATTTTTTAAAAGTTTATTATTATAACTAGAATCATGATAAATATGCTGTGTGTATAATTTTATCTGTCCAAACAGATTTATTAAAACAAAAAAAATTATTTAGTCAGTTAGACTAATTTATTTTGGTCACTTAAAGTTTTAAAATTAGCAGATTTCAAACTCTGAAATCTAGTTATTATTCACTTGGTAAGAGAAAGATATCAAACTTCCTCGTCTTGAAAAATTTGATAGGATGTTGTAAAACACAAAAGCAGTTACTAGAGGGCACGTCTACATGTACATTACATTTAGTACCTCCAACGTGAGGGACTAAATACATGCGCGTTAGGCTGCCCTAATGCATAGGACTGAATGTCCATGTTTAAGTGACGCTTAAAATGCAGTAGCCCGTTTTACTGGGCCTTAGCATAACTGCACCTTTTTTTATGTGATGTTTTAAAACGCAGTAAAATAGGCTACTGTGTATTAAAGTGCACGCGTAAACACGCCCACTGTCAAAGGCAATTTAATCGCATCAAGAAAACATAGGTTCCATGCACTTAAGACTTCCTCCAGTTACATTATTTAAATTTCAGCAGCCAACAACCTTGCAGATCATGCATTTAATTTAATGGTTAACTGATCTATTCTAATGTATAGATTACAATAAATGTAACCTTACAATGGACTGATCACTTCAAATTGAATTTCAAATATTGTGAAAAAAACTAATTTTAATAAAAGGCCCAACTTATAAAAAAAAAAAAATCTAATTAAAAAAAGTATATCAATCATTTTTATCCATCCTCACCACAAAAGATACAGGGACCAAAGCATTATGGGAGAGGTATTAACACTCATGAGAAATGTCCAGTAACGCTACCTCCACTGCTATCAGATGGCTGGAAAAAAAAACAATGCCTGGTATACTGCTCAAGAAGATTTCACATATGTATAACATGCCACAGCCACACACCTCTTCCCACTGTGAATTGAAAGCCTGGCTACAATTCCACTCACTGATATGAATTCAGACATGTTAATCTTTGTCTTAATACTCATGAAGATGGATATCTCATTTATGCTAACATAAGACAAAAAAACCCTATTTTGCCTGTTCAGACAGAGCAGTAAAGTGTTAAAAACAACAACAAATGTCCTGGCCTGTGAAAATAGAAAATGGCTGCCCTTTTTTTTTTTTTTTTTTTTTTTTAAATTTTTTTTTTTTTTTAAAAGGCAAGGGAAGTTCCTTGTATAATTTTCTAAAAAGGGGACATTTTCTTCAATTGCTAGTGAAGGAAAAAAATTCCATTTAAGAATGAAGAAAAATGGCAAAAAGTGCAACAATGGCAATTTGAGAGAGGAGAGGAAAAGATGGAAAAAGAGAGAGATTGACCTACACCTTTGTAATTTCATTCCAGAGACAACTTGAGATAGGCATTAGGGAGTACAGGACATGCAGGGGGTAGAAGGTGGAGCATGGGAGAGATTCAGACACCTAAAAGTAAATTTTATTTAACATTTTAATTCAAGCATGTTAAGATATGCTTTTTCAGATAAATTGCATTCTTTGTTCCAGTCTTCCAAAGGATTCACAATATCCTTCACACCTAACAAAAGTATGAATCCCTTCACTAAGTGGTTAATTTAACTCAAGCTTAACAGGAGAGCTGTGACCATAATAATAAATGTATGGCATCTTGATTTCTGTCACATCACAACTGTGTCAATATCAAAGGGTTCTGCCTAGATTCAACATGATAACACTGAAACATGATTTCCAATAGTATACTTCCATCTAAACGTAGCTCTTTGCACACATTTGTTCATTTCAGGCAAAACAAAAAAGAATTGCAAAAATGGAAACACTTTACCACATAATCAAACAATGCAGTATATCTGAATCCAAAAGTCCATAGCTAGTGGTGAAAGTAAGAACACTTACTCAGAAACTACAGTAGTACATATGATATAAAATTCAAATAGAACAAAATAATACATGGCACTATGATCAAAATCACAGAAACTTCTAGTTTGCACTTTGTCAAAACTGTATCAGCTGGATCACCAGTCTATAAACAAATTTCCCCACACGCACTTTCATCTTAACTG